CACACCCAACCTGCTGCACCCTACTGGCCAAGGCTTCCCACTACTTCGTTAACTGTTTGTAAGTATACAAGCTTATTATACCTGATTTATTTATTATTACAAATTATTAATACTATTGTTTAGTTGGAGAGTGGTAGGGAGAATTAATGAGATAGAATGGTGCTTTAGGTGTGTGTGTGTGTATGTGTGTAGACTTCATATGAACCATAAAACCCGAGATTTATATATGAAGAGGATTTCAACTTCCAAACACCTCTGCAAGGTATAGTGAACAGTTCTTCACGTGGTTTAGAATTTGTTTGGTTCTTATGGTTGACTACGTCGGTATTCTTTTTGGCGTCTGCCTGACAAAATATCTCACATTTTGATGGTATATTTTCTGTTTATTCATCTATACAATACTTGTAGAGGGATCTGGTCAGGCTAACAAAATATTTTCATATGCATTAGAGTCTTTTCATTGGGTAATGTTAATTTTCTTTGATTTAGATTTCACAAACCGATTGATTCTGTGAGATTAGAAAATTCTGTATTTGCACTGTATGTGTTTCTGTATTAATGAAACTATAAAAGTTCGCCTACGAAAAAGTAACATTTTCAAGCAGACAACTCTAAAGAAAAGTCGGTTGAGCTGGGGTGTCAGTGATAATGAATATTGAAAGTTTGTTAATTGGCTTTGGTCACCATTGGCTGGTAACTTGAAGGCGCAATTGATTCGATCGTGCACAAGTTAGAAGAAGACAAAAGAATACGAATAAAAGTACAATACATTCCTTGTAAAAAACACTTGTTTATAGACCTAGAACAAAATATTGATTTCAACAATCGATTAATAAAATTTCTTATCATCCATTGTGTTTTGGCATTAAAGCCGATATCTGTGCTTAATGGTTGTCGATTTGGAGCGTCTTCGGGAATAATAGGATCTAAGGATTAAGTTCCTTGACATGAAGATTCACGCTTTTAGGAAAAGCGAATCGTGTGCGGATCAAATTGCTACTCTACATATCATTTTCATCAAACAGACCAAAGAATAGCAGTCAAATCTCTACTTCATTGACTCTGAGAAAACCTGAGACAGCGTTGACCGAGAAGTAATTTGGAACTACATCAGCACTACGGAGTGTAGTGAGCCTAATCTCTATCAACTCAGTTTGACAGCTATATGACAACAGCACATGTCAAGTGATCCACAACGGATAACTCAGAGAAGCATTTAAAATGAATACAAGAGTGAGAAACAGTTGGCGCCTACTATTACCTGTGATATTTCAGATTTCGGTGTACTCGATTATCCGTAAGACTGTGTGGTTGGAAGGGACAAGACAGGAATATGGAAGGCCGATAAGAAGATTGTAGATTTTGACTTTGTGGGTGAGTTACGTCTACTGACATACTCAAAAATGTACAGGTGAAGGCCAAGAAGTTGTGAGAAGAGGTAGGCAGCTGAGATAAGACTTCAAATGTTCTTAGACAAGATGAAAGTGATGAGGCTACCTAACGACCAACAACGACATTCGCTAATCCCTGTCAGGGGGAGAAATTTGAAAAAGACCACTGCTTTCCCTTATTTGAGAGGTATCATTTGAACTACAGGCAATACAGACGATTTTCTCAAAACCAGTCAGGGTGCAAAAGACAAGGCACATCTTCGTCACTCTCAAAGCAGCTTGGAAGTCTACTGCACTCAGCGTAAAGAACCAAGTTTGGATTTTCAGTATCTCCGTTAGTACAGTTCTTTTTCAAGGTGTCCGAATCTTGTGACGTCGCAAAAAGCATTTCCAACAGACTGCAGTCTTTTATCAACAGCTGTCTTCACTGGCTCCATACTCATGACCTGATGGCCAGCCAGAAGCAATTAACAACAAGAAACTCTGGAAACGAAGTAATCAAGGGCCTAATGCTTAACAAATATCCCGAAAAAAATGTAGATGGACTGGACATATACCGAAGAGACCGTTGGGCGATATTGTGCACCAAGCTCTCAAGTGGAACTCGAATAAGTTTATCATATTTATAGCACACAATTTAAGCAAGCAAATACGTATTCTCGGTAAATTCTCATCAGGTTTGACAATTACATATAATGAAATATCAGTCACAGCCATTTGAAACAATGTAGATCAATAGAATTAAATGAAATCAAGCAAAATATAAGTAGAATAATGATAATGAATTGTGAAACTAAGATTAAATAATGCAACTATAACGCACCGTGATATTGATAATAAAGTTAGAAGTACAAATGGAAATAATATTTCATGAAAAATCCCCATACGAACAATAATAGAGAGAAGACCAGTAGTTCAACGAAGAGTCTCTTTTCGGCGAATTCATTTTCACAGCTGTACAATCAGAAATATATAAATGGTTATTTTGTATGTGTGTGTACATTAAATTTGTCAAACGAAAATACAATTAGTAAGTTTTTGGTGGAGTTCAGTAATACAAAAAGCGTTCAGAGGATTTGGATGTTGATATAAGAGGGTAGTAAGAAAGGTGAAGAGTTGTCACAAACGATTGTTAAAGAATAGTTATGTAATAACATAAATAAATAGTTTGATGTAAGAGTTGTGCTCAGGGTGAACATGGAAACAAAATAAAATATGTAAGAGTTTCAGGAAGTTAGAAGAAACAAGCAAAAGTTAAGTGAAATCAACAGAGATGTTACCCTGATAGTTGAAGTGGTTGAATAATTGATTTTTGTATGCATATTTCTGGTTCTTCTAACTGATGTGCGATTATTTCACTCCTCATACGGCCACTGCTTCCTTTCTGCAGCTATGCTGGATAGTGTTCTTTGATCCTTTTCGACAGGATGAGCGTCGAACGACCGATGTACCTGGCTCCACAACAACAGGTGAACTGATATATACACATAGAAGGAGTCAGGTGCGGGATCGTGTCCTTTGGGTTTCTGCAGATCAGTGGGCGACTAGATAACACTATTCTCAGTGTTGTCGCGAAGAAAATTCTTCTTACTAAAGAACTGGAAATTCTCCTCCTAAGGACATCCATCACTGAGTAGGTCACCTTGGAAGTCAAGGTTCATATAAGGTATCTTTTTTGGCACGGATGGCAACTCTTGCTTTTGGAATTTCTGTCTGATGTTTTTGTCAATGAATCTTGGTGGATATCCATTTTGTATGAAGATTTCTTTCCGGAGGTGTAATTCCTCTTCCAGGGTATCAGAGCTTCAGATGCGTCAGGAGATCTAATTAGGTTTCTTTATGGACTGATCGGTAGCCAGCCTTAGTAGCTTTCCAGTTGGCCGTCCCATATGGTTTTCTTATGGATGGACCTTCTTAAAGTTCCATCAGCTCTCCTTGTAACTTCAACATCAAGAAAAGTAATTTTAGATCCATTTTCTGTTTCAAGAGTAAACTTCGTAGCTGAATGGCAGTTGTTAAATATTTGTAGTAACTGATTAAGATCGTGACCACCGTCACAGATAATAAAGATGTCGTTCACATATCTAGCATAGAACTAGAAATTATCAATAGTTGATTAATTTACAGTTATCCGGTGTTCCCAAGAGAGATAACTACTCTTAGTCGAAGTTGAAGGTTATGGGTGAGAGAAAGATTGAATAAACATTCTATGAACATAGAGATTGGTTTGAAATTTTTTTATTAAAATCACTTCATCTGTGCTTTGCATTCGAAGGCGTAAAATCTTAGGGAACTGAGGTGGAACCTTGCATAGGATTTTCAAGGCTGAATTTTTATCAGTCTCGTGCTCTGTAGCCATTAGATGTGGCAATATGGCACTCCTGAATAACTTCGCAAATCCTTTACCTAACCACGTTGGAAAATGTTCAAGAAGGCGACGGTGGGCTTACCTAGTCATGTTCTACTTATGTAACTGTCTCCACAAGAACAGCTAAATTTATAAATGCACATTGAGGTGGACAGACTCGGCAGCTTATCTTTCAGCTGCATGGTGAATTTTAAAGACAGTGTTGCCACAGAGAATGTTGTGATTCCCCAATTGAAAGATGGAGTACCTAAACTAGCCACTTCTAAATGAATCTACCAATTCAACTAAACTTGCGGTGGAGCGAGTTATATTGGCCATTGCTCTAGGAACTTAATTTTTCGTGCTCAATGGGGAAACATATACCACTGCAGCTAAGTAAGGGTGTAGTAAAAACCATCAACATTTTGATATTAGACCACCTGGTCCAAACAGGCCGGCCACAAAGCCAGCTTATTGAAGAATCCTTCTCTATCATCTACCGGGTACCAAATAAACTACCGAAAACATCCAGCTACCGTATGCTAAAAACAGCTGAAGCTATCGCAATTTATTTGCGTGAAACAATCAATGTTTTGTGTGCAAAGGAATCAAGTCCAGCTACTACTAATACTACTAACCTGGCTTTCAGTAGAGATTAGAAATTCATGAATCTGTATTGCTATTATCTTCCGTAATTTATCTGTCTGATATTCAGTGTATTGTTATGTTGATGCTATCTAACTGTAATCCACTGATGTTATTATTGATTCGATGTTATTTGAACAACATTAATGTTGTTAATAACACTAATTCATTCACTATTATGTATATATAACTGTAGAACCAGATGGAGTAGAGGTTATACAAAAGAATATTCTTTGTTCAGTAACCATTCTTTTGACTAATATTTTATTATGTAAGTGTAAAGCCGTGCGGCATATAACGGTAAGGACGCTCTCCAACCATGCACATGGCCCGAAGCTCGATCCCCGGCCACCGACGCACTCCTTTACCTCGCTAAGCCAGAAATAATGCTGGTGAAGAGGAAAGGTTGGGGATGAGGCTAGCAACGCCATCCTGTAAAATAAAACACTGCTACCGAAACTTCAAACCACTAGCTTGAAGCCCTATGTTCCACTGGGGAACCTGAAGGAAAAAAATTGTAAAGCCTGATGTGAATTTACCGAAAATACGTGTATTTTCCTATAATTATTAATAATGCGAATATTTATCCCAATTACTAATCGCCGGTAACTGACACTGAAACACAAACTTTAAACACACTTATATGCATATATTTTCTGTAATTACAAATGAGAGCATGATTGTCTTTTAAACTCATATTAAACTTTTTCTCTCTTGCTACACAATTTATTTGTCCACTAAAAAAAAGACTTCAAGAAAGAGGAAACAAAAAGAACATGCAGTATGAGATTGAAAAGGAACACTAATAAGCACAACTTAGAATATGAATTAATCTTAAGGATAACATAATACACATTGGGAAAAAAGGCCTTTTCAAGCATTTCCCAGTTGTTATTTTCTTCCCTTCCCTTGACCAGATTTATTATCTTATTCACAAAGTAGTTTAATTGGGTTGATTTATATGTATATAGATATATGGACGAAGAAAGAAAATGGCAATCATTCAAAACTCCCGATAAGTACATACTGATGAGAGAAAGAGAGATAGAACGAATGAAAAGAGAGTGGAACATGTAATTATTGTCTTAATAAATGTTTGTATGAATTCAACGATTTCATTCAACAAGTGATTTTGCGTTGCATTCAAGATTTCCTCTGGTTTAATTTGTTCTTTCTTTATTTTTGTCTGACATTTTTTCGCTTGTTTTAACTCTGTAATATGAAGAAATATACGTTTCTTTTTTCGCTTTTATAGTATTTTATTTTATAATAGTGTTCATAATTGTAATAATGACTTTGGCGCAATTATTCTGAGATATAGTATAGTTCAGTTTTTGTCCGATCATGTCGATTCCGCTTTCTGAAACGATTTGATAAGGCTGTTTTAAATGAACCAGTTAATATACTATACACTATAGGATTTACACAAGATGCAGCAAAGGATAATGTCTGTGATATCAGCTTAGCTATTTTCATAGCTGGAATAAACGGAAAACTAGCCTCGTCAAAAAAGAACCATGAATTAATTATATGCGTCGGTAACCAACATACACCCCATAAAGTTGTCACTAAGACAACCAGTTTTGTTGCTTTAGATCGCAAGCGTTTTTTCTTCAACTCTCTTGTAGCACGTACTAATTCATTTGGATTATTCGATGAGATATTCTCTGGTAAATTATTTGCTGTAGTGATAACACTGCCAGTTTCACGATATCCAGGACTTGCTGGACTAGTCATATTCGATGTAACAGTATCATTAGATATTTGTTGTTCTAAGTTTTGTTGTTGTTGATTTTGTGTATTATTATTATTGTTATTATTATTATTATAGTGATGACGATGGGATGAACAGTTTTCATTCACATTGTCTAGCATGTTTATTTCTAAATTCTCTTGATTTTTATCTGTATGCCTTTTCCGTTTGTTTTTCAACCAGGTCAACTTGTTACTTGTATTCGATGCTTTTCTGTTGTCAAGATTATCGGTGGGTTTGTCGTTGTTATTGTTGTTGTTGGGATTATTACTAGTATTACTATTTCTTGCATAAAGGGAACTGTCGTGTGCAGAAAAGCGTCGAAATCGATTCCTCTCCCTTTCTGTAACGTTCTGAAGAGAAAGTATAAAAAAATTAAAAATTATTATGAAGCAATGTTACATATATTTATATATATATTAATACGAAAGTTTATCAAACAACTGGGTGGTTGCGGCTGGAGCTGTCTCTAGAACATTATCACATAGATTTTTAGAAAAACACCAAAGCAGGACAATATTTTGCACTTTCAGAAGAAGATTTAATCGATATTTTAAGTGAATTTTACTTGAATGAACTGCTGTCAACAATTTCTTTAGATTTAGGGAAATAATTTTATATAATTATCAATTTCTGGATTGTTGATGTAATAGAAACAGAAATTCAAAACGGTTGATTTGAAAAGGTCTGCATTGCCATATGAGGTTGGAGCCAGATCTTTCGTCTGGTCGATTAAATTCTCGAATTGGAATTTCATGTTTAGTTCATTCACTTCTGACATTGCGTCACAAAACTTAGGTCCAAGTGCTAAGATTTGCATTTGAATTGGAGCTAGTGGAACATCAGAATAATTGAACACGTATTTTTCTGGATAAGTAGGAGAGACGGTTTCTTTGGTAACTGACTTAAGGCTTTGGTTTAGTTTCATTATAACACCATCCGTTCTTTTCTTTAGAACCGTATTGGAGTAAGTTTTCAACTGATGTTCTTTCATCTTCAGATAACTCATAGAGAACGTGGCAGTTTTTTGAGATATTCTGCTCCAGTTCAGGTAGTCTTGATCGAACTGCATCGATGTGATTCAGAGTGTGTCGTTTCAGTGTATGTGAGTTAGGGGATATGTGATTTCGTCTGAGATGCTTCCAGAATACTCTGGGATATTCATGTTTCTCAAGGTAATTCTTCAAGAAGAAAATATTTGCATTCACCTCAGAGAGCTTGGTAGACAAACATAGAAACTTGTTCAGTCCCTTTACCGTCAAACGGTCCTTGCTTCTCTTCAAATCACGGAATATACGTATTGGATCATAGGAATTATTAAAAACTCCAATACGGTTATAAAGAAAAGAACAGATGATGTTATAATGAAACTAAACCAAAGCCTTAAGTCCGTTACCAAAGAAACCATCTTTTCTACTTATCCAGAAAAATACGTGTTCAATTATTCTGATGTTCCACTATCTCCAATTCAAATGAAAATCTTATCACTTGGACCTAAGTTTTATGATGCAACGTCGAAAGTGAATGACCTGAACACGAAAGTCGGATTCGAAAAATTAATCGACCAAACGAAAGATATGGTTACAATCTCATATGACAATACAGACTTTTTCAAATTTCTGGATTCATAAAAAGTAAATTATGTGTAGGTCAAACTGCAATTCTACGTTTCATGATTTTCATCGAAAAGATCAAAGAGTAGCAGTCGAATCTCTACTTCATCGAATCTGAAAATCCCGAGACAGCGTTGACTAAGAAGTAATTTGAGAACTACTTCAGCACCATGGAGTGTAGTGAACCTGATCTTTATCAACCCAACTTGACAGCTATATGACAACAGCACATGTCAAGTGATTCCCAACGGATAACACAGCGAAGCATTTAAAATGAATAAAGGAGTAAGACAAGGTTGGTGCCTATTGTCACCGAGGATATTCCTAATTCAGATGAACTGGATTATTTGGAAGACTGTGTGGTTGGGAGTGAGAAGACAGGAATACGTTAGGCCGATAAGAAGACTCTAGAAAATTTGTACAGGTGAGGAAAGGCAGGCACCTTTGACAGGACATCAGGTGAACATAGAGAAGACGGGGATGTTGAAGATACCTAACGACGAGCTATGGCATTCAATATTCCCTATCAAAGGGAGGAATTTGTAGGAAGTTCCTTCTATCACATATGTTTATACGGCGAAGTTAAACTTTAAGCACCACTAACTACCAATGGAGTGCGACCGCACCAATGTCCTTCAAATGTGCACGGAACAAGCTAGTGAAACCTGACATATAATGTTGTCATCATCAATAAAATATCCTCATCGAAGTGTTATGCTATTAAATGGGATATCCGGCAAGTTACAACTTAGGTTTGGGAAAGATTAAGGTATGCTTTAAGTCAAGGACAAGTTAGGGTTAGGTTAACCTAATAAAGGTGACATTAGGGTTGATTTGAGTTAGATTATAGTTAGTTTAGAGATTTTTCCCACGTTAAGGTTAGGTTCAGGAAAGATTAGGATTATTGTTAGGCTTAGAAGACCTATATAATTACATGCATAGAATGTGGTTAAATTACTCTGTTGATATAAGAATAGAACTTGTGCAGTGTGGTAGAGTATGATTCCATTGTGGGTTAAATTTATTTTGGAAAAGTTCGACAGTGTTATACAGTAATATTTACTGATAACATTTCGAGCACAATTTATCGCCCAGTAAATAATACTGTTTACCATTATGAGACTTTATCAAAATAAAGTTCACCCACAATGGAATTATACTTTGTTGATACTCCAACCTAAAACTGAGAGCTATTTTTATCACATGTGAGAGGAAGGTATCCTCTGTAACACTTTTCCAAAGTTATTATGCATCTTTTTTTGACAAAAATGCCTCCTTCACGTGATTATTGCGTTCGAGGTCATTCGCTGATTGCTAGTTAGCGGTCCTTAAAGTCTAACTTTGACCTATATAGCACCATTTCACCTACAAGTGGTACAAATAAAGATGTCAAAATCACGAGCGAAAACAATTGAAATCATCTTGTTAAACCACAAATTCACAGCATTTATTAACCTCTTTCTAAAATACTGATTCCCTCGTACTTTGTCAAATTGATGGCTTAACTGAAACTTCTGAACTATGATTTGACGCTACTACCTATTGCTTTCCTTTAAAATTTTAGAACTCTGCTTTAAAAACAGTCGTCCGTGGTTTTGTAATTATACCAGATAACGTGTTTTTATAACTTGGACAGTGCAATAGAATGTAATTTTATATTAATTTGTTAGTGAAATAGATATTAAACACGAGATATATTGGTTCATCTGATAGTAACATTAGAAGAACACCATTTTACCGTCCATTTTTGTTTATTTTCATCGTCAACTATGGTACAGTGCTTCTCATTTTATTTCAGATTAAAGAATAGTTTAATTTCAAGCTGCGTTGTATACAACCCGTAAAATAAGGGTTTTTACGGCATGTATTTTTAAAATGTTGCTAGGTGACAAACACTCAGTGAGTAACTAATTTCAAAAACATGGTCTCTTTCGCAAAAATATTAGACAAATGAGCGCATAGAAATTGGAGTGAATGAAGGAAAATTCTTCTAAGTCAAGTCTAAAAAATTGTTGAGTCTGTAGTTTTGAAGCAGATAGTTGAACTCCGATACCACTTTCGATGAGTTTCTTTGCAAATTCAGTCGCGTCCACCATTTCATGTAAATTGTTATTGGCTGCTTCGAAAACTGAAAACCATTTCGTTTCCTACTGTCTGTGTTGTTTGATCTTGATCGTCTTAAGTTTGGTGCCATCTTCAGGACTATCTGCACTACCGAGTTTAAAAACTAGCGCTGAATATATCATTAGGCCTAGTGGTGAAAATTCTGCTATCAAATTTCAAAGCCCTAGGGTGGTTGAGTTGGGTTGAAGAGTTTTCATGTCCGCATGAGAATATTCAAAAAAACAATAACCAGGTCACTGTTTTAAGATACTTATGCACGAAGATTCTAAAAAAACAGTTAATTAGGTAACTGCTTGAAATAAGAGATAGTTAGTGTGGAAGTGCTATTCTTTTTATTCCTTCACGTTCCCAGTGGAACATAGGGCTTCAAGCGAGAGGCTTGAAGTTTCTGTAGCAGTGTTTATTTTTACAGGATGGGGTTGCTAGCCACATGACAACCTCTCCTCTTTACCAGCTTTTACTTCTGGTTTAGCGAGGTAAAGGAGTGCGTCGGCGGGGGGTCGAAACCCGGACCATGTGCATGGTCGGCGAGAGTCCTAACCATTGTGCTATTTAAAATGTGCGATTATTAAACATCAATCTGCGCGCCACAACGAATTTGAAAATCCTAGCGGGAAATCTCCGTGATAATAAGTAAGATGAGTTTTTCTTACTCAAATGAATGATTCTGTTTTATGCTTCAGTAAAAATACCCCATCTGAAATTGTTAAACATTAATTCCTTTATGGATCCCATTTTTTTCCTTCAGAATATAGATCTTGTGGAGATTTTGGATTAAATTCAGCTGGTACATATTACTCACGAACCAACATTAGTTACCGAGATAAATGAAAACTAGGGAGCACTGGACAGCTGTTTCATCCCATTTGGGGACACGTGGCCAGTGGGATCTACAATGTCAAGTTGAAGTGGATGCTCAACATAGGCATTTGTGACGACAACGCTACATCACGAGTTGGCAAAGTTAGAATTCACAGTACATTGTATACCAGAATAAATGGCTGAATGGTCAGTGAACTCGGTCTTGTAACCTGAAGATCCCGGATTCGATCCATAGCGGGGTAATGAATGTTCAACGATGAAGAGTCGCAATTTAGGACAACACAGTTGTCCAGTGCCCCATGGTTTCCAATGATCTCTCTAACTAATGCTAGTTCGGGACAGATATGTAACAGTTGAAATTTCATTGTACATTCTTGGTTGTAATTCTTCAAACTGATAACTAATATAAAGAAGGAAGTGACATATTTCAAACGGGTGTTAACAAGCAGAGCCATTGAAGATTTTTACTTTTATTACACGGATCTTCAGTTCAGTGAAAATGACCCTCATTGTTGTAATCAAACAGGTACAGTGTTATCTGATGTACCAAGTGATAAAGCTTGAGGAAATGAAATCTTTGACAGATTTTGATTTTGGAACTGATAAACATGATTGATTGTATGCCTCATACTACTGAAATGTGTTATGACAGCATTTTCAAAAATGATCAAGATACTGTCAAACGAGTAGTGTCTTCTCTCTCATGATCATTTATCATCAGATATGCAACAGGATATGCATTACACAGATCCATGTTGGTGTGCAAATTATAAACGAAATTTAGTTTCACAAGT